AGCAGCTTATTTGAGCAGATAGAAGAAAGAATCAGTGAACTTGAAGATTCTCAATTGAGATTATCCACTCCCCGGAAGAGAAGGAATAAAGAATGGGGAAAAATTTGAATACAGTCTCAAAAACTTGTGGGACACCATCCAGCATACCAACATATACATAAGTGGAGTCCCAGAGAAGAGTAGAGAGAGAAAAGGGCAGAGAACATTTGAAGAAATGATGGCTGAAAGTTTTCCGGATTTAATGAAGGATATGATCTGCAGATCCAGGAAGTTCAACAAACTCGTAAGTAGGAGAAATGCAGAGATCCACGTTATGACAGATTATAATCAAACATGGGAAGATAAAGACAAAGAGAATCTTGAAAACATCAAAAGAGAAGCAATTCTTCATATGTAAAACATCCTCAATATAATAACAGTTTATTTCTCATCAGAAACTGTAGAGGTCAGAAGGCAGTGGGATAAACATATTCAGTTTCCTGGTAGAAAAACACAAAAGCAGAACATATTGTCAACCAAGAATTCTATATCTGGCAAAACTTCAAAAATGAAGGAGAAATTAATACATTCCATGATAAACAAAAGCTGAGAGATTGTCACTAGTAGACCTGCACTTCAAGAAGCTCTAACGGAAATCTACAGTCTGCGATAAAAACACAGTAGACAATAACTTGAATCCACACAAAGAAATAAAGAACGCTGTAGAAGTAACTATATATGTATAAATCAGTGTAAATGTAGTATTTTTGTATCTCCTCATTTTTCCTATTTGATTTAAAAGAGAGCTACACAAAACAATAATTATAAACCTATGTTGATGGACATACAATGTATAAAGAAATGACTTATAATAATAGCATAAAGGAGGTAAATGCTATATAGGAACATTTTTATATACTACTGAAACTAAGTTGGTATTAATTCTAACTAGATTGTTATGACTTAAGATGTTAATTATAATTCAGGACAACTGCTAAGAAAACAATAGATAAGTAAATAAGTATATACATATGCTTGAAGAAATGAGAAGGGAATGAAAGTGGTACACTAGAAAATATTTAGCACAAAATAAAGCAGTAATGAAGGAATTGGGGGACCAAAGAGATATACAGAAAATGCAAAATGGCAGAAGTAAATCTGTCCTTATCAGTAATCACATTAAATATAGATGCATTAAAGACTCCAGTAAAAGAAACAAATTGGCAGAATGAATTTTTTTTTAATTTGACAGAATGAATTTTTAAAAATCATTCAACTATATGCTGTCTACAAGGGACTCACTTCAAATATAAGAACCAAGTGGTTTAATGTGAAAGGATAGAAATATTTCATGCAAATAGTACCCTCTGCAAGATAATATAGCTGAAATAACTATATTGCTATCCTGCAACATAGACTTTAAGACCAGAATTGCACAATAAAGAGAGGATATTACGTAGTGATGAAAGGATAAATCGATCAAAAATACATAACAATTACAAACATATATGCACCTGAGAAAGTCACAAAATGTATGACGGAAAAACTGACAGAATTGAGGGGAGAAATAGACAGTTCACCAGTAATAGTTGGATACTTCATACCCCACTTTTGATAATGGATAGGACAACCAGTCTGGGGATCAACAAGGAAATAAAAGTCTTGAACAACATCAACTGACGAAACCTAACAGATGAATAGAGAACATTCTACCCCAAAACAGCAGAATACATATTCTGCTCGAGTGTACATGAAATACTCTTCAGCACTGATCATACATTAGACCACAAAACAAGATTTCATAAATTTTAAAATATTGAAATCATGCAAGATATCTTCTCTAACCACAAGGAAATGAAGTTAGAAGTCAAAAGGAAATATGAGAACCTCACAGATATAAAGAAATTAAGCAAGACACTCTTCAAGGATTAAAGCAACTGGAACTCTCATTCTTTGCTGGTAGAAGTACAAATTGGAATGACCTGTTTGGTAAACATTTTTGTATTTTAAGGTTAAGCACATGCTTATCAGATTGCTCAGCAACCCCATTCCTAGGTATTTATCCAAAAGAAATTAAGACATCTGCCCATGCAGTGACTTGTCTACAAATGTTTAGTGTAGTAGCCGCAGATTGGAAAGAAGTAAAATATCCAACTGGAAATGGATAAATTGTGGTGTCCAAACAATAGAATACTGCAAAGCAGTGAAAAGGAATTAACTAATAATATATTTTATTATGAAAGAATCTCGAGATTTATTCTAAATGAATTAATCCAGACACAAGAAAATATGTATGATTGTAGTAATTTGATATTCAGAAATCTATACTGGGAAAAAGTAGATGGATTATTCCTAGAAATAAGAAGGTGGGGGCTTGGGAAAGAGAATTATTACCAAAAAACATGAGAAAATTTTTTGGGGTGGTGGAAATGCTTTATATCGTGATTGTGGTTTCACTTATGTTGGTAGGCACAACTGTGAAAACTCATCAAATTATACACTTAAAATTTAAAGTTTTTATTGTTTGTAAATTATACCTCAATAAAGCTGACCCAAAAATGAAAAAAAGAATTATAAAGACAAAAAAATTAACACTTCGGAACCAAGGGGTGGGAGTGGGCCAGAAACCATTATTTGAAGTAAGACTTTTTAGGAGTAAGACAAAATGGAAATACAAACTGTTTGAAATTTGTGACACTTACGGAGTATGGTCAAAACTTTACTCAGAATGAAATTTTAGCCTTAAATTATTTTATCAGTTGAAGTAGTAGTGGTCTAAACAACTCAAGGGTTAGAACAATATTCATATCTTCTTCATGGGAAATAGGATAGATGTATTTATTTTTATTTAACAAATATACATATGGCACTTACAATGTACTATATCTTTATAAAGATAAAAACGGAAATTAAATAGAAGTTGATAAGATCTAATTCTTGGAGAATATTGGTAAACTCTGAAAAGCTAACAAAAAATAAAACGGAGTAAATAAATATCCCACATTATGGCTAAGAAAGAGTACAACCACGATGACAAGGAGACTAAAAGTGAGGGAATGCAGTATACAACACAACACTAATAAATTTAAAATATTAATAAAGTAGGTCATTATCTTAAAGAGTAAGTAATCAGAATTTAATAATAATATAGTTTCTGAAATAATTCTTTTCAGCCTTATCTCTCATTATTCCCATATTTTAATCTTTTGCTCCAGCAAAAGGGATCGGTACACTGTTCCCTAAGCAAAACCTGTGTTTCTCCCATGTCTAGCATTATTTGCTCAATTCTCTACCCTATTAATGGCATTTTCTTTTTGTATATTCAGATGCTACCTATCCTTCAAGCAGGTACACTTTCCATTTCCTTGAGGAAACCCTAGCATCTTAGGTGGAAATGAGCACTTGTGACAGTACCCATCAGTCACTTACTCAGCTTTGTAGAACTATGTATCTTTTAATGCTGTATCTTCCTCCTCCTTATGGAGACTAAATACATTGAATATTCCCACTATATATATATATATATATATATATATATATATATATATATATATATACCCCATCCCTGATATATATATAACTCTTATTATCCCCACATACTCTAGTTTATACAGAGTAGGGGCTCTGGAAATAAATATTTAATTTATTGCTAAAAGTGAATCAAGGTGAGATTCAAGTTAGGAAAAAGTGGTTAACTACCATTCCAGGTAAAGTTAGTATTTCTTTGGGTAGTATTTTTCTAGTTAGGTGTGCATGAATGGGAGAATGTATTCAGTTTTCTCCACTTGAAGGCTCAGATAAATATATGTCTTGATATAACTGGCATCTTCCTAAGCCTCAATTTCTTTTTTGTAAAATGAGGACAATATATATATTGAGTTTGTAAGACTGTATGAGACAATGAATGTGTAGCTCCTTGGCACAGCTCTTGGAACATATTCAATCCTGAAAAATTGTTACTTTCCCCGCCTTTCATATGAGGTCACAATTACTTGCAACTACAATGTGGTTATTTCCCCGTTTTGATATGCCTTAATATTTTGGCTGATAGCAATGAGCATACGTAGGTTGAAGCAATACATAATTTAATGTTTAATTCTAATTTAGTTATTTCTTCATTCCCAAGCATAACCTATGCTAGATTGCTTTTTTCTCATTGGGTGTGTTGTAATTTGCATCTTTCAGGTTTTTTATGAAACAGTTTTTATTTTTTCACCAGTCATTGCTGTATGGATTGGTGTACATTGTGACTAATTCTTTCATAGGTCACTGGACTAATTATTTGAGACTAGAACCCTTTGGGTAAATGGTTAATTAAATTAGTATTTTTCTCTTTTTCCTCTGAAAAGGGAAATTGACAAATTAAGTCATTGTTAATGGATTGCTGTAGTGATGTCTGCTTAGTTTGGTGACCTGTTGATGGCTGTCACCTACAGTTACAGGCAAGGTGGAGCTTAGTTGGACAATGGCAGAAGACTGTTGTCTCAGATTTTTACAGACTTTTGGTATTTAGTCAGTATAAATAACAAAAGCAGAACAAAACAGATCTTTGAGTATCTGGTCAAGTCATTTCCACTGCCTTTTAAAATTATTTCTAGAGTTAAGTGACTATTCTTTACCTGTATTTAATCTTGCACTATATGCCTCTTGAGGCACCTCAACCACCTTGTAGAAACTTAGTATGGTTTTAAATTTAATTATCATGATTTTAACATTTCTGAAAAAAGCATAATTCTGTACCATGTCCCTAAACTCAGAAGTGTTTTTATGAATCTCTTTTATATCCTGTGAGGAAATATGTATTTTTAAGTCTTTTTTGATAGATTTATAATATTTTAAAGATGCAGTCTCAGAAATCTAATTGTGAAAATTAGTGTAGTAATGTTCCTAGTACTGGGAGAGGAAAAACACAGCCAAAGTTTTATTTCGTTATAAAAATTAGCAGCAAAATAACTAACAGTGATAAAACTCTTTTCTCTTTAGGGCCAAGGAATACGAGAGTTTATTGGAAACAAAAAATTCTGGCTCAGACTCACCCTATAAAGCAAAGTGAGTATTTTATCCTACATTTTAGTTCTTTGTCTTTTCAGTCTTTGCCTGTAACAAAAGCTTATCTGAACCATCATTGTATGCCTGTGGTCATGGACTTTGTATCTGATGCCTAGAATTTTATTCTGCTAACACAGTGGTATCCAACTGGGGATGGTTTTGCGAGAGGACATTTGTCTGTGCCTAGGGGTATGTGATAATATTTTGGTTATCACAGCTTGGAAAAATGGTGCAGCTGCCATCAAGCGTGCAGAAGCCAGGGGATACTGTTAAACATTCTTCAGTGCACAAGATAGGCCTCCACAGCAAAGTATTACCACATCCAAAACATCGGTAGTGCTGAGGTAAAGAAACCCTATTCTAACAAAACAAGTTCTGGCAAGGCTGTACTGGTTCTTACTCTGAGGAGATCTCATTCAAGATCGTTGCAAGGGCCACTTGACAGATGAGGATTTAGACTCCGCCATTGGGTGTAAGTGTAATTACTAAGTGTAATAGCTAAGTAAACAAAAACATCATCATTTTGCTTCTCTCAAATAGACTGCCAGTAGAGGTGCAGTGAGAGAAAGGTACTTATATAATACTACTGATAGGGGTACAGACTGGTGTAGTCTTATTGAAAGGCAATGTGAATCCGGAGCTTAGGTTGTCCACTTTTTTGTTTACGGTTAAGATATCTTTTATTCATTATGTATATGATTATGTTCTAGCACTTGAAGTTGTACTTTATTTTTTTAATTTATAGTTGATTTACAATGTTGTGTTAGTTTCTGGTATACAACAGAATGATCCAGTATATATATATTTTCCAATCCTTTTCCATTATAGTTTATTACAAGATATTGAATATAGTTCCCTGTGCTATACAGTAGGACCTTGTTGTTTATATATTTTATATATAGTAGTTTGTATCTGCTAGTCCCAAACTCCTAATTTATCCACCAAATAGTTTTGTATTGGCATGTGAATAATAATACAAATTAATGGAATAGATTTTTTAAAGCAGTCTAGAAATAGATCCAAAATTTGAGGAAATTTAATATATGATGTGGTATAGTGTTTGCAAAGATGGCCAGAAGTTGTTGAGCCATTCCTGGAGGCATGTCCCTTTGCAATATAACTTTGCCACCTCTCCATCAAGGAGTGGACTCTATTTTCCTTACTCTTGAATTTGTTCTAGCCTTTTGACTTGTTCTCATCCACAGTCTACTGCAGAAGCAATATGTGACTCCCGAGCCTTGGCTCCAGAAGTCTTGAGGCTTCTGCTCACAACTTTGCTCTCTTGCTCCCCTGTGACTGCCATATAAAGAAGCTTTGGTCAGCCTCCTTGAGGATGACAGATCACTTGGTCATTGTGTATAATCCTTTTAATATGCTGTTTAATTTGTTTTGCTTGTTTTATTGAGGGTTTTTGCATCAGTGTTCATAGAGGATATCAGGCCTGATCAAGCCTCTGCTTGTGTCACATTTGTTTATGTCCCATTGGCCAAGGCAAGTCATTTTGCCATGTCCGTAGTCACTGTCTGAGGTGACTATGTACGTCATGGCTGGCAAGATATACTTCAAGGGGGACCTTTAATGTAACAATCTACTATACAACTTTCTCTGGATTCTCCTCTTACTTGACTAGATGCTCTTTTTCAGTATCTTTTGCCTGGTTGTTTCTTGTCTCTTTGACCACTGACATTAACATGCCTTTGTCCTGAGAGTTCAAATAGAGAATTACTCCCTTGGTAGTCTCATTTAGTTTCATGACTTTAAACATTTAGTATCTGGATGGACTTTAAATTTATGTCTCCAATACAGACCTGTCCCCAGAACTCCAGAACACTATATCCAACTTCCTATTTAGCATTTCCACTTGAATGTCTCTGTTCACTTGGATGCCTCAAGTGAACATGTGCAAAATTAAACTCCTGAAATTTGCTCCCATACCTTACCCCTCATACTTTTGCTCATCCTTAATTTAAGGATGGCAAGCCCATCCTTAAATTAAGACATCTAAAATCTTTAGAGTCATCCTTTTTCTCACACTTTCAGTCCATCAAAAAATTCTATTGGCTCTATCTGTAAAATATATTCAGAATCTGACCACTATTCATTACCTCCATAGTAACTAGTGTAGTCTAACCTACAGTGTGTCTCATCTGGATTATTGTAGCAGCTTCCTAATTAGTTCTACACTGCTCTGCCCTTGTTTACTACAGTCTCTTCGCCACAGGGCAACCAGGATATTCTTTTAATTAGAAGTCTAGAAAGATGGCAGTAGGAATAGAAGCATAAATTTTCAATATCTTCAAATTTTAACATAGAAACCAGATAACTAATAAAGAAAACCAAAAACCCATGGAAGCATTTACAAAAAACACTACATTGCCAGATATCTACATGAAATCTGAAATGCAAGTGGACGGGAACAAATAGCCACAAGACCTGCATGGTAATGACATCAGTGTGAAAGAAAGCAAAGAGAAGCAACTGGGATAACAGATGTAAGGAAAGGATAACCCCAAAATAACTAACAGATTTTCACTGGAAGGTTCAGGGAACCAATTTGAGAGAAGCACCTGAACCTCATTCTTAAGTAGGTTCCTCAGGAAGGGTTGATATGAACAATGTTGCCTTAGTTCTTACTCTTTCTTATCAATAATTTTATGCCCTCAAAAATCAGTTTTGCTGGGCTTCCCTGGTGGCACAGTGGTTGAGAGTCCGCCTGCTGATGCAGGGGACACAGGTTCGTGCCCCAGGCCAGGAAGATCCCACATGCTGCGGAGCAGCTGAGCCTGTGAGCCATGGCTGCTGAGCCTGCATGTCTGGAGCCTGTGCTCTGCAACGGGAGAGGCCACAACAGTGAGAGGCCCGCGTACCACAAAAAAAAAAAAAAAAAAAAATCAGTTTTGCCAGTTACAAAATCCTTGACCCACATTTTCTTTTCTTGAGGATCTTAAATACTAAGAGAGAATGAACCTTAGACAATCAAAATTATTAGACATCAACATAAAGACTAGGGATGAATAGTAAAGTTATAGTTTCTTATAGAACTAAGAATAACTGATGGCCAGAAGAAAAAGAATATTACATAATAACTGTATCTCAGATGTTTTTGTAGTGTAACTATAAGAAAAATATTGGGGAGAATGAGGAAAACATATTCTAAAAAATTAACCATTCTCCAATTATATTGGTGATGGTATTATTGATAATGTTATTCTGAGTCTATGTGTGTAATAATAAGGATAAAGTAAAGAAGATTATGGAGACTAGCATTCTTTCATCCCCTGTATTACTGAGAAACTGAATTCTCAGTCTGGATGAAAGGAGATAGATGTAATACATTAGAGATCAGGTAATACCCCTGTAGGACTGAATTTGAAATATATGAATTTATGAGATATTTTATCTTTTAAAAAGTGTTCTGCGTATTTGTGTATATACATATATAGATACACATGTATTATGTATGTGTGTGTACACACATTTACTTATTTCCTAGCTCTGTCAATTGAAGAGGCCTAGAAACAATGACCAATGCAGTAGCAGTGAGCATATCTCACTAAAGGGAGCAAGAACTTCTTGGAAAAATGTCTAATGCTAGATCTGAATGCTCTGTCATACTAGATGGCAAGGAATCTCTCAAAGACTGCTAGTGTTTTATCAAAAGACTCAGGAGCTGACTTGAAAAATTTACTAATAGACAAAAATAGGGCAATTTGAGCATCAAAAAGGATAATTATTGTAACCGATTGAAATTGGTAACCAAATAGCAGATGAAAAGAAATGTCTCCTTATAAAATTATTCTAGCTAATAAATGAAAATGACTCTTCCTCCAGTTTCCCCTCCCTTTCCAGAAAAGTTCAGTCCTAAAGCCACTAGATGAGAGAGCACCAAGCAACCATCTGCACTGGCTGGATGGCTGGAGGCCGCAGTGGCACAACGGTGGGTGTCAGAGTAGGCTAAGGAGGGGCGCCAGGTATGGAGGTTCAGAACCCAAGCAGAGCGCAGGGAGCTTCCATGTGGGGTAGGACACCATGGCCTGGTGTGGGGAATCAGAGCCAAATGAGGAGGGTAATGCATGGAATGTCATCCTGGCACAGTCTGTCAGGGGAGTCTTGCAAAGGGTATGAAACCCAAGCAAGCTGAGAATGGCAGAAGAGCCCAGAGTAGGGAGTTGGAGGCCAAGCAGGAAGATAACAGTATGCATAAAGAAAGATGCATGATATGTTAGGTGGATTGTTCACATAAGTAAATATATTAAGGATGAGAAAAGAGAGTTAAAAATAGACCCAGGGAGAATAGAAAATCCTATGGTGGTGAATTGGAATTGTAGGTATCGGTTTTAACTCCTATTTTCCATTATATATATAAGTAGAAATAAATATAGATGTAAAGTGTAGGGATACACACACACACACACACACACGTGACCCTTGAACAGTGAGGGTGGGGGCTGGGGTGCCGGCCCTCCGAGCAGTCAGAAATCTGCCTGTAACCTTTACGGTCGGCCTTCCCCTCCAAAGTTCTGTGTTCACAGATTCAACCACCCCTGAATCCTGTGGGACATACATAGTGAAAACAATCTGCGTATAGCTGGACCTGCACAGTTCAAAGCCCTGTTGCTCAAGCATCAACTCTGTGTATATATAATTATATATATAGTTATATGGGGGGTTTTTTTTTGCAATACACCGGCCTCTCACTGTTGTGGCCTCTCCCATTGTGGAGCACAGGCTCCGGACATGCAGGCTCAGCGGCCATGGCTCACGGGCCCAGCCGCTGCGCAGCATGTGGGATCCTCCCAGACCGGGGCACGAACCCATGTCCCCTGCATTGGCAGGTGGACTCTCAACCACTGCGCCCAGTTATATGTATTTTTTATATTTATTTATATAATAATATACACACATTTTCTAGATCTTTCCCCTAAGAATGAGGGCCTGGGAGCAGCAACACCCTGATAGCATTGAGCACATCTAGTATACCCATGTAAGTATGAAGGTGAGGTAGTTCCCTGAAAGAGATAGTTGGGTTCTTTTTCCACAGGAAAGGATGTTGCTGGCTGGCAACAATGAATGATGATCAATGTAGGAGGCAATATATGCACACTGATTTTTTCATCTTATATGGGGATTTCTTAGGCTGTTACATTTAGAAATACAGGCTTAAGCATATTATTTACAAATGGAAGGGGAACCAGTAGCCTTAAATTTAGACTATGTACCTTTCAAATAGAGGAGGTGAAAGAAGAAAGAAGTTAATATGTTTATGTCTTCCTGTCCATCACACCGAAGGGCAATGTTAGTTCCTAACGTGGGCCCATTCCCCTTTCTTACACGTTTATAAATCTTCCCAGTGATCCTAATGAACCTCCCAAAATTGACTGTGGTAAAAGTTAGGGATCCTTACAGAGAAGCCCTTATATTTCACTTTTGCCAGTGACAGGTTTGAACTTAGAGTTGTTAGAATTTGTTCAAGTTTTGAGAAGAAAATATCTGACCTTAAAAAATTCTCCATAAAGCCATTTACCTGACAGATACTTCTCATGTTCTAGGCTAGGAGTTATGAATCCTTCACTTTTTCTTTACATGCTAGAAAAAATTAACATGCCAGAAGTAACTCAAATAGCAATTTCGTATTAATAA